GACAGTTGATTTGAACAAAAACACAAAACAAAGTTTTTGAAGTAAATTTATTCCATGAAACTATTGTAGAATAAGGATCTTTTTTTGCTACTAAAACAACATTTGATGATTTTTATTCAGTTGGTGTGTAATAGGATCATATATTCAGATTGTGTCAGGTCTTGGGCCTTATTATCGTTTCAAAATAATGTATTTAAGGCAAACCGAAACTGAAAACAAAACACAAAAGTTGTTAATACATAAAACGTATCAATACTGACAAAAGAAAACAATTAATTGATGTATTCACAAGGGAGAAAAATCGAGGCTCTTGTACTTCCATCATACTTTTTCGTACAACCTCCGTACTTCAGAACATTCTGAAGTAGTTAATGTCTCACTTTTTCACCCTTGAGTGTTTAATATAACATGCATATAATTTAGTAGTACTTGAAAATTAACATTAACCTTTATGTAAACAAAATATTTAAGTTAATATCAAACTCAAGCATGTTACTATCATGAGCAGCAGCAGAACTTAAACTACAATAAATCTTTCATGCAATTTGTTAGTTTTTCTTTTTCTGAAAATAAACACAATAAGAACAAGAATTTTTGTTCACTAAAAATATTTCTTGATTTTTCTTTTATCATACTTATACATATTTATAAATATTAACCACAGTTGAATAGAGCTCACAAGCAGATGTACAACATAAAAATGAAAACAACAATAATTATAAATAAAATGATATACATTTCACAATACAATAAGACACATTGACTAAAAAAAGAAAACAAACTGATTTGGTAATTTCTGGATTTGCTGATTGATGTATGGAAGTTATGGTGGGTAAAAGAAAACAAAATAAACGAAAGAAAAAAGAAAGAAGACAAAAAAAAGAGAAAGAAAGAAAGCTATCCACCTTTTTTATACAAATCAAAATAAACAAAATAAATCACCGTCGGATATTTATTCCCGATGTGGGTTTTTTAATAGTTCAGGTATAACTTCGATTTCTTCGAAAATAAGTTGTTTTAATTCTGGTAATGGTAAATCATCAAGTTCCATATCAAATGTAAACGGATGTGGTGCAATTGGTTCATCAGATGGATCATAATATTGAGCAAGATAAGGATGTTTAAGTGCTTCTTCAACTGTTACACGACGATCTGGATTAAATGTTAAGAGAAAATCAAGCATATTAAGTGATAATTCAGATGCAGTTGGATATAATTGTTTCCATGGTGTTCGTTTACGAACAGGTAATAAACTGACATAATTACGAGCTCGTTCATTGACTAATAAAAAGATATATATATACAACTACAATATATTCCTTTTTTTTCAATATATAAACTTACTAATTGATGTTAAATCACCTTCATCTGGTGAACCAACAACATTTAAAATTAAATTTATTTGTTCAATATAATGTTTACCAGGAAATAATGGTCTTTAAATATACAAAAAAATATTATCATTTTGTTCTCTTCTTTAGTTATTATGCAAATATCTTACCTTCCTCCAATCATTTCCGCTAGAATACAACCTACAGACCATATATCAATTGGTTTATAATAACCACGTGCATTGAGCATGATTTCTGGAGCTCGATACCATCGAGTAGCAACCTAAATTAAATTTTTATTTATTGAAAAAAAAGTTAATTCATTATTTACATATTCAGTTAAGAGGCCAGAATGATCTGTATTTGGATCAGCTATTCTTGCAAGACCAAAATCACATATTTTTAAGTCACAATTTGTATTTAATAATAAATTGCTTGGTTTAAGATCACGATGTAAACTAAAAATAGAATAAGATTTTTTTTTTATTAAAGAAAATGTTTTTTTTCTGTCTTACACATTAGCTGAATGAATATATTTTAATCCTCTTAATATTTGATATAAAAAATAACAAATATGTTCATCTGTTAAACGTTGATGACGTAATAATTTATATAAATCACATTCCATAAGACATTGCACGATATAAATATCTTTCATTTGATCAATTGTTTGTGCACGTATAACTTCTTGTATATTAATTATATTTTCATGACGAAAACGAGCTAAAATTTTTATTTCACGCAATGTTCGTTGACAAAAACATTGATGTTCAAATGGAGTGATTTTTTTTATTGCAACACGTTGTTGTGTTGTATGATCAAATGCTGATACAACCATACCTTTAAAAATAAAATTAAACATAAACAAAATTCCAAATACTAAATAAGGTTACTTACCATAGGCACCTTCACCTATAAATTTTAAATCAGTATAACGTGGAGCAACTTCAAAACGTTGTTGACGAACAATTTCAACAGTTGGTCCTGCTGCTGAAGTTTGCATTGCTGATGATGATGAACTACTTGCACCATCAACTGAATTGTTTGAATGCGAACTTAAATCATGATTACTTTTGTCACTATGTTCTCCGTCTTTTTCAGCACCGTTCATTTGCATTGAAACAATCTGGAATATAGAAATATTAGAGAGAATATTTTATGAATAATAGAAGTAATATAACATCCAGGGTAATGAAATAAACAATTCGTATACGCAATTGATAATTAAAGTTATTTCGAATAGTGATGAGAGGGTATATATGTTGATTGGTGACGACCTTGAAATTATAAGCAAAGAAAAAATGTCATGCTTTTACTTCCATCATGCAACAAGGTGTACTAGAGAATCAGAGAAAAAAAAACGAGAAAAAAAAAGAAAGGCTTTCATACCTCGACATACTACCACACGTGGGAGTGAGCTGCTGTTAAAACAGAAAAAAAAGAGAAAAGAAACACAAGGAAGTAGTAATTGTGTAACATATAAAAACAAAATTTTTTCTTTCTATGCAATAACTGATCAGTTAATAAACTTTAAGTTCATTTTTTTCGCCAATCAGTCTACTGTAAAAAATGAAACAAGAAATTTCTTCATTTACTTTTCTCTAATAACTATATGTAGATATAGAACATATTTAGCTATTCTCTTGTCTAACTTTGAATTCAATGAGAAAGATGATGTTCTACATACATAAACATCAACAACAAAAAAAAAGAAACTATACTCTTGTCATGTCTAATGTGTAAGACATTACTGACGTCAAAATGACGTCAATAGATTTGTTGGTGTAAAATATCCGATAGAAAAAAAAAAAGAAACACGATTAACTTCAACAACATGAGAAAAAAAATATATATAGAACAGATTTAATCATTATTAACATAACTTATTTAAAAATCTATGACATCTTATCAATACTTAACATTCTTTTCATTTTCTTTTAGTACCAATTATATCTTATTTATGCGTCAATGACATCATACATCTTGACAACAATGTTAAAGAACAAAATAAACACATTCACCTCGTATAGTGCATTGTCTCTCTCTTGTCATCCAGGGTTTAGCAAAATGGATAGAATATCTTCAAAAAGAGAAAAGAAACTCCATTATTATTGACATATCATACGATTAATCCTATATTTTTTCTTTTCGCAATAGACATCAGATGTGTTTTTTGTTGTCAATATGATTAACTATTTAATAAAGATCTATGAAAAAAAAAATTCTTTAATTAGATTTATACATACCACCGAAAAAAAAACGATCTCAAATTTCTACTACAAAAAAATAACATGAAAGATTTTTTTTTGATTTCTAGTATATATATATATACTTTATGATAAAGTTTGTGTACATATGACAAGTTCGAATGGAATTTGATCTTTCTTCATTCTTTTTTTTTTGTTCTTTTCTCTTTTTCGCACATTACTTTATTGCCCTTGGTCTTTTGCCTTCAAATAATGTCGCTAGTGATGGCCCTGAGAGATTTACATACGTCAGTCATTTTTATTACTTTTTTTTCCTCGTTTCTTTTCAAAGCTTATATCCCAGCTGATATGAATGCTAATTCATATAAAAAGATATATTATACATACTTATAAAAAAATAACGTAATGACTAACAATTGATCAAATAAATAAATTTATTTATTTATTTATTTATTCGTTTCGATATTTTAATGGTCGCTATTAGTAAAACATCTAAAAACTAGATAAAAAATAGATTAGACAATGTATAAATATATTATTTATAGAACAAGATTCCCCTCTGGAATATTGTGTCTTCGATATAAGTGTGAGACTTTGGGCTTGTTTTCCTCGTTTTTATGTCACATAGATATAAATACAAAAGGACAAAAAAAAAAGAGAATACCAATTAACAACAGAGTCTTTCCCTCGTCTTCTTCATCTTCTCTCTCTATCATTTGGTCGAACGCTTGCTCCTTTCTTTCTATTCCCGTTTTTTTAACGAGCAGTATTTGCATGCTGGCACAAACTGTGTTTTTTCCTTATATGATAACTTGCCAGTCTAGCAAAATATATCATAGAGAAAAAAAACGAGAATGGGAGACATTAGGACTATGACGATGTATGCGAGCGAAAACAACTGCCATTTACAGCTGCGTGCATCAAAAGACAATAAGAAAAGATGGATTATAAATTTCTTTTTGTAGTGTCATGGCAGTCAATCGAAGCATAGAGAACATCAAGACAATAGATTATTCTGGAGTCACGACGACATTTATATGAAACTATAAACAATAAATGAATGTTTAACATCGTTTATGGACATCGGAGTAAAGAATACGAAAGAAATACACACACACACACATACACACAAGGACATTTTGAAAATCGTGGCTGCGTCTAGTCATCAACGTGAGGATGAAAAAGAATAGGAACATTAGAACTAATCGAAGCAATAAGACAAATACATTTATGAATAAAAAATTTTTCATGCAAGATCATTTTACTTCATTAGTTATTCATTCATTCGAACTCCTATTGATTATACATACATAAAGAAAAACATTATTTTATACACAAATATTCGATACATATATATGTATAATTGTGGACGGAATAAAGAGCAAAGGTTTTCAACCTGAGAAAGACAAACATACACACATATGGACGGAAAAAAAAGATCATATAAAAAGCTATACTAAAGTTACATTTGTTTTTCTGAAGAATAAGCTGAAGCAAGTGGGGTTGTATTGACGGAATGTTGGCGAGTCGGTCGATTTTGTTGAGCTGATAATAATTTATTCGAATTTGATGAAGTTGTTGTTGTATTTGTACGTGCAGAGTTTTGAACATTACCCGCTGACACTGATGATCGAAGTGGAAGAGTGCTTGTTGGCATTGTTGAACTAAATTGAAAATATTTTGGATCGATTCTTGAACTAACTGGTGGATTCATTGAACTAAAATAAATATCAACATAAAAAAACTGCGACTAAAAGATTAAGACAAAGTCATACTTCTGCTCATTATTATCTTTCAGATCACCATTACTTGCTGAATGATGTCTTACACTGCCTGATGTTGACGTATTCAATGTTGATGATATAGGCATTTGATGATTTGTTGTTGAACTATTCCATGTTGTTCCCTATTTTAATATTCATAGAATTTTAAATTAAGTTCAATCTTATTTTCTTACTTGAGATTTATTCATTGGTTCATAATGTGTTTGTAAACTTGGAAATTGTGCAACATGTCTCATCGAATGTGGTTCACTATTGCTATGTGAATTTGACTGAAAAAAAAACAAATGTTTTTAAAAACAAAAAAATTCGAAATGAAATACCAAATATGATGTTGGACGAAAATGATTTGTTGATGCTGTTGAAGATGTATCTAATGTCATATTTCCATTTAATAAACGTGCTTGTTGTTGTTGTGATGGAATATTTTGATATTCAGTTAGTTTATGATTAAGATAATTAATAAGAGCTTCATTTTTTTTTAATAATTCTTTTGCTTCATTATGTTGTTCAGTTAATTTTTTATATGAATCATTTGTTTTCTCTAATTTATTCGATACATCAGTATTTTCTTTTTGTATTGCTGCTAATTCACGTTCTTTTTCTTGTAATATACGTTCTTGTTTTGTTGCTATTTGATCTTTTGTTTTCATCTAAATTGAAATTTTTCGAAAATAAAAAGAATAATAAATCATTTTTTTTTGTTTTATTACTTTTTCTTCACTTTTGCTTAATTCTTGTTGTTTTTTTTGTAAATCACTTTGACATTTTTTTAAATCACCACCAAATCGAATAATTATTTCATTTGCTTTAGCTAAATCTCGTTTAAGTTCGGACATTTTTTCCATTTTTAATTGAACTGTTTCTTCATATTTTTTCTAAATTAGATATAAATATAGATATTAATAACAAAAAGAATCGATAGACCAAGATAATATCTTTTAAATTATTAATATCGGTAAGATTATATGTAGTATTGTAGATGAATGAAATTATTAAAAGATTAATTTGTTTGTCACTGAATCCAAAAAAAGAATACTGAATGACAATGAAACTTATTCTATTTATAGAAAGGTAAATCTTTCTTTTGCATGTAAACGATCCAAAGTCTTTTTTTACAAATTCATTGAAATAGAAAATTAATATAGTTTCTACAGATATTACCGAAGAATTATGTATTATTCTATCGTTTCATATTGAAAAAAAGAAGGTTTAGAACGAGTAAATATGTCAATATTAACTAGAAGGTTATTCTAACTTTTTTGACAAATTATTATAATTCACTAATTTCCCTCATTTTATCCATTGATTTCGCTCTTATCTTTATAGTATATTTGTCCTAGAAAATTTTGTCTTGAATACAAATAATCAGAATCACTAAAGTCAACCGATTGACATAAAACATTTGACAACAGTAATAAAAAAAAATATTACTAACTTAGCCTCAAGCGATAGTAACAGAAAAATAAGTTTATAAGAACAAAATTTTTAATTAAAAAATAAAAATATTATAATCTATCTCATTAGAGTAACAATTTAACTTTATAAAATAAGAGTATTCTCTAAACTATATATAAGCATTTATTTTGTTACTTAATATTTTACAAAAATAGTAAACATATTGTATACAACTCTACTTAATATGATATTTGATACTATTATGTTATAATTTTCTGGAATAAAACTACGTCAATGATTTCTTTTACTCTTAGAATTATTATATTTCATGAAAGTATTTTGCGTCCTTAGGTATTTTATATCGAATGAGATCATCTCAATTGTAAATCAAAAACGAAAACTTAAAATATTATTTAAAAAAAATTGTGAATTTACTTTTGAATCTTGTTCCATTGCAAGTCGATCATTGGTTTGTTGAATAAATTCTTGTTTACCTTTCACTTCTTGTTCAACAAGTGCAATTTTAGTTCTTAAATGATTAACTGTTTTTTCATATTGATGAATATCATTCTCAAGTGTTGTATTTGTTTTTCGATATTTTATTATTTCATCTTTAGCTTGTTGATGTTCATCAGTTAATGTTGTTAATTTTGAACTAAGTTCACTGATAGTTATTTCATTTCGATATTTTAAACTTGTTAATTCCTGTAAAAAACAAAAAGAAAATTTTTCTTATATCTTATATCTTATGTATTAAATACAAACTTTTGTTGTTTCTTCTAATTTAGATAAACGTTCTTGCATATCACGAACATTTCGTGCATGTGTTTGTTCAAGTTCACGACGATCATTCTCAATTTTTTGTTGTAAACTTGTACGTTCCTATTTAAAAAAAATAATGAATAACATATTAATTAAATCAAACAATCTGATATAAAAAGAATTTATTGGATTAATCTGTCTAATTCAATATTGTTACAGATACATATCATATTTATTTGCTTATAGAAAATATCTCGATTATATCTTAGCAACGAGATAGTAATAAAAGAAAAGATTCTGCAATATTCATGATAAGAGTATTAATAAAATTAGTAAAATACGTAATTCATTCAATAATATAATGAATGTCACTCATGCGATATGTTCCAAATCAATTCGCAGAATATAACTTACTCAATCAGATAGTCACTGATATACATACTTGTAATGCTTTTTCTTTTTCTTCTGCTAATTCTTGCATATGTTTTCCAATAATACTACTATTATTTGAATCCCATTCCATTTTAAGTTTCTCAAAATTTGTATTTTTTTCTTTTAAATTCTACAAAATAAAATTTTTATTATTCAAAAACAGAAGAAAAAACAATTTCATTCTTACCGATTGTGTTGATTCAAGTTCTCGTTTTAATTTTTCATATTCATTATACAATTGATTATAATCCGTCTATATGAAAGAAAATTTCGATAGTTAACAGAAAAGAACAAATTAATTTTTATACCTTTTTTAATTGTAAACATCGAGCAAGATAACTTCGAATTTCATAATCATTTGCCGATGTAAACATAAGAGATAAATGTGTAAGATGTTTGAATGAACTAATTTCAACAACACGTAGATATACTTGTCCATTTGTTAATTGTGGTTCACCACTAACAAGTTGTAATTGATAACGAGAACCACTTTAATAAATGAAAAAAACAATAATTTATTAACTTTGTTTTTCTCTCTCGTCTTACTTTCCAGGAGTTATATCGATATGTTGATCACGTATACATAATTTTAAATAACCAATAACATGTTCGGGAAAAGTATTAAAATCAACAACTATTTTTTCTTCTTGTTTTAAACTAAAATTAATTATGAATAAAATATAAATACAAAAAAAAGATAATTTCTATTACTTTTTAAAATCTTCAGCATTGATATGAAGTTCATAAAGAAAAAATGGATCATCATCATCAGTTAATTTTATAACTAATTCCTATATGAAATAAATTCTTATAATGAAATATTCTTCTAATTTTTTTGGAAATACAAACTGTTTGAAGTGAACTACCAGTTTGAAATTCAACAGTAACATGAATGTTTCGACATCTAAACAAAATTCTTAGTTTCTTTTTTTTGTGTTCTTATTGAAATAAATATTTTTTTACTTTTCTTCACTTTGAATATTCGATATTATTCTTAAATAGGTATTTTTACTAAATAATGGGGAATGATTTGATGATGACACAATTGTGTCCATAACCACAAATTAAAAGAAATAACAATAGAAGAATAAGTATGTATACAACAAGAATATTTGAAAATATATTTCTATTTGATGAATTTTATTAACCAATAATATCCTAAGCGACGCTTAACAACCAGTGACATCGTTTTAAAGCAATATTTCGACTACGTATTACCTATGGTTGCATTGTGTTATATATTGAAGTGTCAAAAATATTCAAAAAATGAATAGAATTCTATGACATCATCAACGAATTCTTATCAAAATAATAGAAATGTTTGCACTTTTAATCGTTGCCATCGTTATTTCAAAAATAATACTCTAGTACTTTCGAATACATCCAGTTAACTTTTGATCGTATTATTGTTTTTCAAAATAAACAAAAACGAACTTTTGTAATACTTGTTTTCTGTAGACTCGATTGATTAATATATAGAGAGAAAAATAAGCATACTGTCAAAACAAATGGATTCTTCTGTTATTCGATATTGTCTAAAAATAGAATAGTTTATATGTTTGAATGACAGAAAAGAGACATCAATGTTTGATCATATCAAGGATTTTTCTTATCAAATCAAGACCAAATGTTTGTTGCTGAAGACAAAAGACATTTATCGTTAGTAACTGCAGTTCTTAAAACTTATCTCCTTGCTCACAATCTTTCATTCAGAATAGTCCTATATGGACTATACATGTTTATAGTATATAGATCATTAAGAAAAAGATCAAATTGTATTCTCTTTTTTAATGACTTATAAATAGATTTCATTTAAAGTAAAGGAGGACGTAGTATAAATAAGTCGAATAGTTTTAATATTGAAATTATTAATTACATAGAAGATCTTGAAAATAAAATTTATACTTTAATATCGCGCTTATTGTTTCAATCTTAATTTTCGTTCCATAATTTATTTATATACATTAGTTTTTTTCATATGTCCTCTTGTCAATGTTGTTTAACATCACACCCGTTACGTCTTATTGAACGTCTTAATTCATCAATTCAAATAATTAAATTAATACGTAGAAATTGTTCAATATTTGAAGCAATTCTTTTAAATGAATATGAACAATTAGAAAGAATATCAGTAAATTTCAATAGATATCTCATACATTATAATACAATTTCTAATCAAATATTTTTCATTTTATCTCAATTTATGAAACAATTAAATAATCGTTTAGAAAATTTAACAAAAATTCTATACGAACTTGAATGTTTAACAAAAAATTGTACAATTTGGTTAAAAAATAATTCGATAAAATCACTTCGTTCTCAATTAAAATCTTACGGAAAACAATTAGATCTATTTATTCATTTAAATAAACAATATTCATATAAAACTAATTCACCAAAAAAATTTTCAATATTTCAAATAAATTATCAACAACAATGTTTACAAATGGATTTGATTGAACGTGATTATTTAAAATTATTTCTTACAAGTATTCAATTATTTCTATTAATTATTTCAAATGAAACTAACAGAAATACTTTTCCAACAATAAATATCGATCAAGATATTAAACAATGGACAGAAGATAATAAATTTCATATTACATGGTTACCTAATGAACATCAACAAATCCAACAATCCTCGTCAGATATTGAAATTAAAGCAATAGAAAATGATGATAATCAAGCAGAATATGCATATGAATCAAATCTAAGTTGGTCATTTACATTACCAAAAAAAGAAGATGATTCATCAGTGAGTTAAGGGAAATTCAATTGTAGATTTTTCCGAAATAAACAATGTACTTATCTCATTTTCTAATGTAATCGACTCTTTTATTGATTAATGAAAAACAAAATTCTTCATCTCTGTTGATATGCGCTTCAACACATAACATAACAGCTATCACTGTTAATGTCGAAGAGAGAATATGGTACATATATATTATATAAATATCTGTTTCTAAGTGGTGATATGACCGACATTAGAAAATCACTTATCTATCTGTCAGACAATAAAAATAATTGTTATTACTAAAAATAGAAGTTATGACAATCGTAATTTATTTCAGATTGCATCTCGTCTTCATCAATCAATTGAAAATTCTAAACCATGCCAATCAACTGTTAATATTATAAAGTCTCGACCAATAAATCGTGTTCGATTAGCAATTGAAGCAATAGAACAAAATATTAAACATTTTCCGCGAGAGAGAAAGTCATGAATGTTTTATTAGTTGTATAAAAAAAAATCGATCTTTCCGTTTTTTTTTCTTCTTTCTGTTTTTTCTCTTCCTCTCTCAATCAACATCGCTTGCTCTTCCATCATCACCATCATTTTTTCTCTGGACACAAACAAACAAAAACAAAAGAAAAAGAAAAAGAACTTTCGACGCATCCACACACACAAATCGGTCAACTGAACAAACAAAAAATCAGAAGATAGACAAAAACAGACATATAGTTTTTTTTTGTGTTGACAAAAGAAAAGAAACATTTAAGATGAATATTTTCGAAAAGAAAGAAAAAAAAAGCACACACCGGGAGACTACAAAGTTTTGTTTTCTTGTGTGCGAGTCCAAAAAAAAAAAGGGTTGAGCGGTTAAATCCAAAAAGACAAAGACAAAAACTTTTATCTCCGGAAGACAAAAACGAAAAAAGAAAAACAAAGCAAAAGAAATCAAGAGCACCAAACACACACACATAGAGAGACACATACAGAGTGGGATGAGAACAAAAAAGAAACTTTTTTTTGGTTTTTTTTAAATCGTTACAAAAAAGTAGACGATACGCGAGAGAAAGAGTGGAACAAACACACACACAAAACGTTTTCTTTTAATATTTTTTTTTGTGATAAATTTTTCTTGTTTTTTTTTATTTTTGGTTTTGTTGTTGGGTTCATTTCAAGAGAATAGGAACTACAAATAAATAAGCAACGAAAGACGAACAACTCGAGAAGTTAGAAATCATATGTTTTTTGTTTTGTATTTATTCGGCATAGTGAACCTGTGGTTCAACATTGCCTGCGCTGCCGGTGAAACGATGCACCGTTTGATTACTATTGTGATAGTTACCACCTCCTCCACGTGATCGATCAAAAAATCTTCCATTACCACGATTACCACTGCCACGTGATTGATAAGCTGGTGGACCATTTGGACCAGCATTATTATTTACTGAACGACGACCTCCTCCACGACCGCCGCCACCGCCACCACGATTTAAGCTATTACTTGAACCAGAACGACGTTCATTAGAATAGCGATAGTTTCCTCCTCCACGACCGCCACCACCACCACGACCACGTGAATTATTATACTGTTGATGTGATGGTGATGATGAATGTTGTTGTTGAGGATGATCTGATGCTGAACTATTACGACGAACAGGATTTGATTCATTTATTGTTGATGATTGAGACGTAGGTGCAGGTGGTTCAGTTTGATTTGAAGGAGATAGATCAGATGCTGACGATGATGATAATGGACCATTCGTTTCTGGATTAACGGAAACAGAATCAGTTTTAGGATTATTATTTATGGGTGATTGACCACGAGGTGATGATAAATCATTTGTTTCATTAGTTGGAGATTTTGTTGAGTCTGTTTGTTGTTGTTGAGGAATTTGTTTCACTTTAAGCATATCAGCATAAGTACGAGGACCATTATTATCAATAGATTGTTGTTGTTGCTGTTGTTGTTGAGCTCTAATAAAATCAAAAATATTTAAATATGTAATTAAAATTATGTAAATTTCATTTACTTTTGATTTGAATTTGGTGATTGTGGTGATGATGATGATGTTTGATTGTAATAAGTTGCTGAGGGTACTTTAGGAATTGTGACAGTTAAGGGTGTTGACGAATTTGAATTCATTCGTGTTTGTTGCTGTTGTTGTTGTTGAGGTCGTCCTTGTTGTGATGAAGATGATGGACGATTGGAATTTTGGTTTGATCGATTATCACCTGACATTAATGGACGGATTGATGTTTGTTGTGGATTCAGTTTTTTATTTGATTGTTGTTGTTGATTATCATTATTGGAAGGATGCTGTTGTTGTTGTTGTTGATCGCGATTAATTGAAGGTGGTTTTCGTTGTTCTAGTGGCTGATAATTTAATTTGGAATTTTCAATTGATGTTGACTAAAATGAAAATTATTTAATTCAATTTTTTTTCAGTTAAATAAAGATAATATCTTACAGAAGGATAAGAAGATTGAACTGGAAATTTGCCTAAATTTTGTGATTCATTTGTTTGTTCTTGGGATAAATTAGTATCAGATGATCCTTGTTGTTGGACATGACTGTTCGCATTATTATATAAACTAAAAGAAATAGAAAATAGAAATATATGTATATTAATTTCATTTTCCATACACATCATTTGTTGACTGATGATGATGATAGTGATCAATATTATCATTAATTGATGTATCAATTGTATTTGGAGGATATGTTTGAACATGTTGTAATGATGTATTTGATACTGCTTGTACTATCGGTTCATTAGTACGATTAATTACTGCTTCGGCACGAGGAACTGGTGAACTACTACCTTCGGAACTAAATATACAAAAAAAGATATTTATAATGAATTAAATATAAAACTATACTACGAACTGTGGAGTACTGTGTTGACAATAGTCGAGCAATTCATTTGAATGTTCATTATTCATTTGAAGTCCTTCATGACGAGAATTACGAGCACTAGATGGTTTAGTTGAATTACTAAAAATACACAATCGATTCAATAAAATGAAAACAATTTCGAAATAATTTTACCGTGATTTAGATGTTATTGGATATTCACGTGGCATTCGAGTTTTTTGTTTACTCGCACCATTATACGCCTGAAAAAGAAAATATATATTTATATATATATTTATATCATATGTATACATATATATATGTAATTGAAAGAAAACATATGAATCTACTCTTGACGAGCGTAAGGGAAACAAAAATAAAAATGAAGCTTCATGCTATTTTTATCAATGATTTTTTTCTTAAATTTGACCATATGTTAATTTATACTAGAACTTTAAATATAAAAACAAAAAAGAGATCCTCGTGCTGAATAATAAGTATGTATATATTTCATGCAAATACATAGTGACAAAAAAAAGAAAGGTAAGAGGATCTCTTTTATACGACTTTAATTATTGAATTAAAATTGTTTTTTTTTCGCTCAAGAACTACATCGGGCTTAACAAAAACGTGGTCGGGTGTGCACGCACATCAAAACATCCACAAGAGAAACAAAATAATAATAATGATAATAATAATAATAATAAAATTTTTTCGTACTCTGATTAAAGAATTGAGAGGTACAATCTATAAAAAAAGATCAGTCTCTTCTTTATCTTGATCTCATGTATTTCGATTTTATATTCAATATGCATTAAATAAACATACCATTGTTGGATATTGTTCTGTAGCTGGATAAGGAGATGACATATACCATAAATTTCCTGCTTGAAATACAGGATGCTAAAATAAGTATAGTTTTATATTTTAAATGAAAATATTTCTTTTTTCTTACATTTGCAGCAATAAATTGTGGTTGTTGATGAATTGATGTTGGATACGAAGTCATATTGGCTTGTTGAGCACTTGTAGCAAATGAAAGTGTTGGTTGTGTTGTTTGAACAGTTTGTGGATGTGCTGTAGTCCATGTAGTACGATCAAATGGTGTATTAGGACCATAATTTTGATAACTCATACGTAAATGTTGTAAAGCTTGTGCATGTTCTAATGAAGACGGATGTTGTGTTTGATTAGCTGTTGAAAATTGAGCAGCAACATGTTGTGGTGGAGGTGGAGCAACAGATGGATGCATTGGATGACGATAATTATTTGTTTGTTGTTGAATATTTCCTAAAATTGATGTTTGATTTGGATGAGTACTTGTTGTTGGTTGCATATAAACAGGAGCATGTTGTTGTTGAGATGGTGGAGGCATTTGTTGTTGATTAAACTGTTGCTGTTGTGGATGAGATGAGTACTGAGGTGGTGGAGGTGGTTGTACTTGTTGCTGTTGTTGTTGTTGTGGAACAAATGCTGAATTTTGATATGTTTGAATAGGTTGTTGTTGTTGCTGTTGTGGTGGTGGTGGAGGACTTGTTGCTCCACTATTATTTGTTGATACCGGTGGTGACACAGGCGTGGATGGATTTGTACTAGGTACAGATGATGGTTTTTGCCATAGACGTGCTTTCATTCGAGCCTTAAAAATTTCAAATATTTATTTTTCTTTAAACTTAAACAAAAAGATTTTTACCAAAACTTTATGGCCACGTATTGAAACATTTTCTCGTGTTAAATATAAAAATGCATTTTGTGCATCATCTTCACTATTAAATGTAATATACCAACAATCTGATGTACCTGATTCCAAAGCTCTTTCACAAGCTAAGGCCGGTGCAGGACAATGTTCATTTAAAAATAATTCCGTTACTTCATTTTCAGTTGCATCTAATGGTACATCACGTAAAATAATAATACAACGTTTACCAGTTGGACGATATTTTTTCTCATCAGCTGAACGAACTTTTTTTTCTTCAGCATCAACTTCAACAGATGGTAATTCTATAAATATAATTCATATATATTATTAAATTCATTATTATTATTATTATTAAAGAATACCTTTAAGAACATCAACAATTAATTGTAAATCACGTGTAAAACGTTTAACAAGTTTAAAATTTGCAATTATAGTTATTGGTACATAATCATCTGCATCCATTTGTGATTTTAAATATATATCGTTTACCATATTTTCTCTAGAAAAATAATATTCAAGTTGTTTTCTTAAATGTTGTCGTAATTGTTCTGGTGTCAGTTGTGAGTGTTGAGCTTGTTCTTCGTCTAAGTGATTTTTAAGAAAAAAACAAACAAATAAATATATTTTATTAAATTATGAAAAATATTTTTTGAAAAACCTGATTGTTGATTAGCAACGCGTCTTCGTTCATAGATCATCTTTATAGTTGTTATTTCTTTATATGCACACAGAAGAAAAAAAACTTGCGTCAAGTGAAGGAAGACATGGTACCAACGCTATCTCTCTCTCTCTCTCTTTCTCTTTCAGTGATGTTCTCTTTCGATTGTTATATACATACGTATATACGCACGAGAGAGGAAAAGAAGAACGACGAAGCAAAACAATTCGATATGTGTGTGTGTGTGTGTATATGCGTGTGTATGTATGTGCACGTAGCTTGCAATTCAAACCAGACGGTGTATATGTTCTGTTCTTCTCTCTCATTCTCGTCCGCGCGAACACAAACCGACGACGGTTATCCGCTATGTATAAACCGTTCATCATTTTGGCTCCCGTTCAACAACAATTAAAGGCTTTCTTTTTTTTCTCTCTCTCTCCTTTTTTTTTGTATTGAACTAAAGTGATAACGAAGAAGAGTATGCTGACAGGCTCATTGCATATACACACGCTTTAATATATGAAGAGTGATGATCGATGGCCTCTGTCGTTAAGATTGCATCATCTAGATTTTTTTCCTATATTATTAGTTTAGTTGTACCTGGCATTGTCTGATGTATATGTGGTTGAGGATGATGAAGATGATTTGGATTTAAAAGTGGTGTTTGTTGATGATCAATTGTATCGAGCATGGCCGCATGTTCATGTACGGCAAAGTTCGATTCTGTTTGTTGTTGTTGTTGTTGTTGAAGAGTGTCGATTGACGATGGATCGACTAGAAGAATAATAAAGATGAAAATAAGATAGTTAGATGAATATACACATCATAAATGCATTGAATGAAAGACAGACAGAGAGAGAGAGAGAGAGAATAAGTATGTATATGTGTGGTTCAAAGCAAATAGTGTGTATATGTGTTGGCAATCAGGAGGAGAAGAAGCTACATATTCTCGCGCACTCGTGTGTGGAGAACGCGGGAGAGAGAGAGAGATTGAGAAATGAGTAGCGGGACACATAACCGAGAAAAAGAAGCATGGTAAAGAAGAAAAAGTAACTGAATTACTGCTCCCTTTTTCTTTTATCCTCTTTCGCAATGTTTCCACACATACACACAGATGTGTATACTATCTCTTACCCTCATAATAGAAACCTGAATCATCAATAGATACATATATAAATAAATGAAATGAAATAAAATAGAGAATATTGAAATTTACCTGGATACATATGAGATTGATGTTGTCGAAGATAAGATCCTGTTCCATTATCAATATACTCTCCATATAAATCATCTATATTTGTAATAATAAGAATTGTACAGTTTTTTTTTAAAATAAGAATTCAAATGAAACATACCACTGGGCACTGTCGGTCCGGCTAGTACTGTTCCGGTGTTGTAATCGCTCGCCGAAAAATGTTGAGCATTAGGATTGAGATTTTTGACGACACTACTGCCGACATTTACCTTGAATAAAAAAAATTATGTAAAACAAACAAATATTTTGCTATTGCCTTCGTCTCTTTTCCTTTTTCTTCTTCGTCTTTTTTCTGCTCCATCGTTTCTGTCTATTTTCTTGTTCTTTTTTTTTTGCTTGTCTGCTGTCTTACCATCCATCCTCTATTCTAACTATACTCTTATTCGAAGGACAAGAGCTTTGTCTTGTCGTTTTCTTCGTCTTCTCACATGATGATTATATGGATGGGAGACAACAGTCTCTTCTTGATCAACTAGAAACAATGGTGGGAGATAGATATCGTCGCTGCTAACAAGGTCAGATTGGCCATAACTCTCATCAGCATCACCAATAATATTGGCATTTTGTACACAAAATACAATTTCCTTGGTGTTTAAGTCTGATGTAACATATATATTGTAACCATATAAATGAACTTCAAGTATTTCATTATCCATGGTTAATATAAATTTATAATATAATGCCTATATAGTTAGTGACGAGAAAGAGAGGAGGGTTCTTCTATACAAGTATCAATGATACTTAGAATAATCATTCGTTGTCAACGTTTTTCATGATAATACTGGCACCATCAACATCAATAAACGTATTGTGTTGACAAAACAAAATCCCTATACGTATCCAAAATAGAGAACACAAAAAAAAATGAGACACTACATGTGTTTATACGTAGATAGGCGAACGAAACAAAAAAAAACTTATCTCAAGCTTTTTGTTTTACGTCAATCTAACGACAGCAGGGAAAAAAACCGAAGAAGAAAAAGAATACAATTTTTACTTACTGTTGCTTGCGTCATTGTGGTAAAAAAGAAACAAAATTGAACTACTGTCTATAGATATGTGTGAATAATATGTATATATGATGAAGATAACAAGATGAATTGTCTAGATGTGATGAACAAATGCGTTGAAAAAACGAACAAAAAAACAAAACACGTGAACTATAATAATATTGTAGTACGAGAGAAATGAATTAATTGAGAAGATTTTGTAATATATTTTGTTTTCTAAATAAGAAATAAACATAATATATATTTATATATATAATGAGATAATGTTATTTTTATCCGCTGAATAATTCTTACATATAGGATGAGAAAATACAACAGGAGTTTTGTATCAAAAAGGAATGTAGACGACAGCACACATGATCAATTTTTTTCGAGCACGTTTAATATGTTTTTAACAATAATAATAATTGATAACGAATCTTAAAAAAATTAAGTAAAAAAAAAATTGTTTTAATTATATTAAATTTCTATTTTTAAAATAAAAACCTGTTAATAAACAACGGTAATAACAATTGAGCTCGATTGGTCAACGTCACACGAGCTGCCAAACATGCCCGATACATAAAAAGATAGCACAATTGTGACCTATAATAGAAAATAAGAGAAAAAGAATGATAAGGTTTTTTTTTCCTGTCTTTAGCCTTGAAACGTGTGATTCATCGAAAATAGAGTATACTATTATTGAATGGATAGTTCTGTGAAATAAGAAAAAGAACAAGAAAATAAACTAACAATATTCGAATCGTTGTTGCTGTAACTAGTATGTCTATATGTATGTGAGAACAAACAATAGAGAGAGAAAAAGAAAAACGGTTAGATGGATGTGTGCATACGATGAGTAATGCATGTCGTCGACATCATATAGGGCACAGTACAATGTGCACAACAGCGACGAGAAAGAAGAAAAGGGTTAGCAAGAAGAGAGAGAGAGAGAAAGAACAAATGCGAATCGAGCTTCCTTTAGGCATTTCTATTTCTTCTTTCACTTTCTCTTTCTCTTTCTCTCTCTCTCTCTCCTTTTTCTCACCCTCCAGTTCTAGACAGCCTGTGCCTAAGCAACGAAATTTCAGTAACAACGTTTAAAAAAAAATATCAACGAATGTATAACTAAAAAAAAACAGATAACGGACATATTTACTTGACATGACAAACTTAACGAATCAACATAATATTTCTAATTAAAAACAAAGCTAACTCATCAATGCATTTTGATATTATCCATATTAAACATTTTTCAAAGATTCAAATAGATTCTCGAACCTTTCTTTTATATTTATTTTAAAATTAAATTCTAATAAATAAATAATAAAACCATAATTTCTATATTCATTATAGAGAATAAATAAATAAATTTCTATTGGTTAATTTTCTCCACCATTCATATATTTCGACCTTTTTGGTAATTAATATTGTTTCATTGATACAATAATATAAAAATATATCAATCATGCCTTCCTACGATGACGATTTGCCAACACCACAAGAAGAACTTTTACTTAATCAATTGATTAATAACACCGATCGACAAGAACAATTACAAGCATTAATTCAAGTAAAAAATTTAATTATTGGTTCAAAACGATGTAAAACAGCATTTTATCATGTTGGTATACTTGATAATTTGTACGATTTACTTAAACAATATTCATCACCAATCGATATTGATATACTTATTCAAATATTTGATTGTATATCATCATTTGCCAAATCAAATAATAAAGATTTAATTCATCATCTTATTGAACTTGGATTTATTGAACAATTTTTAATATTATTAACGAATAAGATTGATTCGAAACATTTTTATGAATCATGTCTTCGTTGTTTACGTTCATTTTTTCTTTCGAAAACATTTTCAAATTCATCTATAACATCAATACCATTTATATTTCTATGTGATCAAAATAAATCCGAAGAGAAACCTTCGGAATTACAATTAGAAATAACTTTATCGAATAATAAATTTTCTCCAATAAATATTCTATTTGAAAATTCTCAAACACTCGATACACTTCATAATTTATTATCAATATCGAAATCAACACAAATATCAATTGTAGAAATCTTATGTTGTGTATGTGTTGATCATGAAAGACAAAAACAAATTGTAGAAAAAAATTTTATTCAAGATATTATGCATCTACTCGTAGAAAATATTTCAATTAATGATAGAATTCATCATCTAGTCGGGTAAATTAGATTTTTACTAGTTTTATTATCTGTATTTTTTGTGTTTCTTTCTAGTCTAGCTAATGAACACCTTATTGAAGTTTGTTTAAAATTTTTCTGTTCAATTTGTTACGAAAATCCAACTATTGCTCAACAATTATATGTTACGATCTATTCTGAAACAAATCAAACATTATGTGAAATAATATCAAGTTTATTAAATAAAATTCTTCGATCTGTCATAATATCTTATTATGCATCTAAATTTTTTGTTAATCTTTGCAAAACAAAGGTGCTAGCATGTGATGATCCATATGTATCACATTTATCATTAACAACACTTATTCATTTATGTACGAAATCAAATATAAATAAATGTGTTTATTTATATATTGAATGTCTTGATACACTTATTTATTTATTAAATGGGAATAATACATTACATCATACAGCGATATATACAGAACAATTATTAAATAAATTATTTATTTATATATTTACACCAAATAAAATTCTTGAAAATAATTCCGATGAAACAATTTCGATACAATTACGTTCATCTGCTTTAACATTACTTGCAGTTCTTTCATCACATCATGAAGATATTAAGAAGCGAATTGCTGAACAAGAAAGTAAGTTATTCACGATCTGAAATGAAAGGAAAATATACAAGGACTAAATCTGCAGTCTACAGTATTGCTGAAAGGAATAAATGAGTGCATTTAAAATTTTCGATATGAAGAATGGTAAAATTACCTGCAGTTATTTACTTCTAGAAACCTATTATAAAATGGAAAAGAATTAATTTTCAATATAGACTTCTTCATTCATTTAGAAATATTATCCTTTATGAAAAAAAAGTTAAGTGAGCATCAAATTTGAAGTCTACGAGTTTCAAGTTCTCCGACAAATTGCAGCTTAAACTGTGTACTTTTTTTTCTTCAGTACCACCAGTCAACTCAGTACAGTCTAGAGTATCTATTAGAGCAATCAAAAATAGATGATTACACGAGTTTTTCGCGACAAGTCAGACATACGTAAGCTCTACATTTGGAGCACACTTAGCGTGACCAAAAAAGTTTTATGCCGTTGAGAATCAAATTCCCGACAAACTCACTAGTTAGTAGATATGATCTTCAATATATATATATATATATCACATTATCGTACACGATAGAAAATAATTATTAAATTTAGATTTGATTTCAACTGCAATTGAATGTTATCGTTCACCTCATATATCATTACAATTAGCATCACTTCGTCTATTTCATGGTTTATCACGAAGTGTTCATCAACTTCGTACAACATTTAATGATACAATTTGTGATATTTTACTTGATGCTATTAAATCAAATGATTTATCTTTAGTTAAAATAGCATCATCTGTTATTAGTAATACCGTACTGGAATTTTCTACTTGTCGTGCAGTAAATATTTTTCTCTTGCGATTTTCATTAACAAATTTTTGTTTGTTTAACTAGAGATTGCTTTCTGGTGGTATTCTTGATATACTTTTTACATTTTTAACACATACTGATCATGAATTATCAATCAATAGTATATGGGCTTTACGTAATCTTTCATATTTATCAACACTTAAAATTAAACAAGATATTCTTAATGGTAAAATAAAAAAGAAATTTTATCTTTTAATAATTTTTCTTTTTTTGTTCAAGGTTTAACAATTGATAAAATTTATTCATTACTTGAACAATGTACAGATAAACAATTTCTTATTTGTTTATTATCTTTATTACGTAATCTTTTTAACGAAAAAGATACAGAAATATTATTACCAATGTTTAATTCAGTTAAATTATTAACAGTAAAATTTATATATTACTTTAAAAAAATAAAAAAAATTTATTCTTTTAGACTTTGGAAAGAATACTTGATAAAAATCATCCAGGAGAAATTCGTCGTGAAGTTAATTTATTAATTGATCATTTAAATTCAATTAATAATCCAGTATGACAAATATATTTTGTAAAATTTCTAATTTTATCTTTTTTTCGTATAGTCTCAACAACGATCATCTTCAGATTCAATTAATTCATCTTGTCGAACATCTCTCTTTCCTGAATGTATATTAATCAATTAATTAATATTATTAAAATATTCGTTTTTTTGTTTACATTTAGATTCTTGTGACGAAATGGATCAGTTGGATTGTTCATAATTTTTCTATCTGATGACCTTTATCATCAATCAATTGTTTATTCTTTAGCTATTTGTTTATATTAAGAGTGCTTGTTTATCTATTTTTTTTCTTTGTCTTTTGAAAATAAATTCAATAGTTTATGCAACAATTATATTAATTCATTTTATTAATTAGCTAAAAGGAATCGATTGATGACCTAATCAATTAGTAATCAGTAGACATAATAGAAAATTTTTCTGTAATAGTAAACAATTACTCATCGAAATAAATACCCTGAAATATAAGTTTATCTCGTGCTCAATATCTAACTTTGTTCGTCTTTTTTTTATCAGTATAAATCATTTTTAACCTTGTAAACTAATACAGCATGATAAAAACAAGTAATAATACAAGCTCAAGGACTTTTTTTTGTGATTTGTTCTTGAATTGATACTTGTTTATAAATACAAACAGCCAAAAGACTTTCTATTATCATTGTAATAGATGTTTTTCTATTCATTTATATTAATTTAATTATTGAATAGTAATACATCGGATAAAGATAAAACTGATTCGTTATCTTTCAAGATCACATTTAGTTTTTGTTCGATCATGTAGATTTTATTTTGAATAAAAAAATATTCTCGAATATCTTTATATTTTTTCTGTAAATTATTAAAAGTAGATTATATTATACCAATACAGGAAGTCTAAATAACCAATCATATTAGAGAATGAAGATATTGAAGTATTTAAAAGCATAAAATCAATTTTAATTAATTATTTTTCTCATTACGTTTATATTTTTTTCTAAAATATAAAATTTTTATGTATAATATGATATTTACTGCTAGCGACTCTTTCCGGTTTTTTTTATTTCTTTCTCTAAATTATCATCATCGTGAAGGTGCACGATGCTATTCAATGGTTGATCACATGTGATTTCATTGTTTTTTGTTCTCTGTCTATATCTCTCTGTACACATTTCTTTTCATATATACATAGAATATCGTCAATCTCCCATTCTGTGCCTTATATTCCATTTTATTGAACATAAGTAAGTGATTTTTTTTGTATTAAAATTGATTCTTAATATTGAGTTAGATTAAAAAATGTTCGATGTACCCACCAAGGATTTTGAATTATATAACAGAGAAAAAAAAACCTTGAAAGAAATTTCATGTTTTTATTATATAAGATCCTTCGAACATATTCTTATTTTTCGTTCAGATGAAAAACAAAATATTTCTATGACCTTGATTTCGAATGTATTATCATACATCAATATTGTTGTTTACGTGCGTTCATTTTTTTCTATTCTACTATCATCGAGACGCGTCTAGACAAAGAACAGAAAAAAAACTCTTCCCTCCTTTTTGCACTCCTACAATGTTATTCATATGACATGCTCGTATTACCCGCGTGACTCACCACATGACTATTCGGAAGAATCAAATATGACTCCATAAAAACGTCATCAGATTGCACCACTATAAATGACCATGTTTTTTTTTCCAGATTACTCAGTGCATCACAGTATTGAAATAACTTGTAAATTCTTTTTGTGAAAAATAAAATACAATGGAGCAGCCCGAATCGAATCCAACATTTTGTACAAATAATTGTGGATTTTATGGTTCATCACAGTTTGAAGGAATGTGCTCAAAATGTTATCGTGAGCAGGTCGATCGTTCATATCATACTGGTCCAGCAAATTCATGTACTAGTATGTTTTTATTGTTAAATTAAATATGAAATAAATAATTATTTTTCAAAACAAAAGGTTATTATTCATCTTCCAATACATCTTTGCCACCTCAAAGTCTCCTTCAAAATGAAGATGTTATGGAACATGAAATTCATCCAATTGAACATGATAACAGTAAAGAACAATTAGACGAAGAAAATGATACTAGTCTTCTACATCATGTTGCATCAGCACCTACAATATCAAGTACTACAATAAATCTACCTACGACTATTGTAGAAACACACTCCCTAAGTAAGAACGATTACGAAATATATGTATTACTAATATTCGATTAATTTATTTATTTAGCTGCCTCTCCTACAAATTCATCCAGTCCGGATAAGAAAAAACGCAATCGATGTACATGGGAAACTTGTAATAAAAAACTTGGATTAACTGGTAAATAATATTTTGAAAAGAATAAAAATTTTGTTATATAAGTCTTATTTTTATTCATCTAGGTTTTGATTGCCGTTGTGGTGGTCAATTCTGTTCGTTACATCGTTATGCAAATGAACATAATTGTACATTTGATTATAAAGAACATGGTCAAAATGAAATAAGAAAAAATATGCCTGTTGTACAAGCTGAACGTGTTCGAAGAATTTAAATAGAAACATTTGTATAATTATTATTTATTATTATTGAAAGCAGTTCTTTGTTCAATCCTTGTCTTTTCTTTTGCTTATTTTCCGCGTTGGATTATCCTAGACCATACACGCACTCGTACAGTTCTCGTTTGTTTGTTTTGTTTGTGTGTGTGTGAGAGAGTGAGTGTGTACAAAGAGTGAGGGAAGAAGTGTGTATAATCATTTTTTTGTAGGAAAAAGAATGCAAGCGAAAAACAGAAAAAAAAATATTCAATTAGTTAAGAAAATTTTGTTTCTTTGTTTCTAGATGGCTGGATTTGATGATGTTGGAGTTTTTTTTTCCGATAATTTTGGTGCTGATAATAATAACGATATTGAAAATGATCATGATCTTAATCGTGCATCAATTAAAAAAAAATTTAAAATGTTTATCAGAGAATTTCATATTAATAATTTGTTTATTTATCGGTAAGTGTCTTTTTTTGTTCGAGGAAAAGTTTTGTAGGATGATGAAATTTTTCGTTCTTTCAGAGAAATGTTACGACGAAATTATAATAGTCGAAGATATTGGATTGATATTGAATTAAGACATTTAAGTGATTATGATGATAATCTTTGTGATAATCTTAAAAAAGTTCCAGCTGAACTTTTACCATTAGTATGAAGAAAAAAAAAAGAAATAAAGATGAAAAGAAATCAATTATTTTATATTTTAGTTTGAAGAAGCAGCAAAAGAAGTTGCTGATGAAATAACTCGTCCACGTCCGGACGATGATCTTGATATGCATGATATACAAATTATGTTAATGAATGATGCACATCCACTTCATCTTCGACATTTAAAAGTTAGTTTATTTATTTGAAGAATTAATTTTCTATTCTCTATATATTTCTAGTCGGAATATGTATCAAAATTAATTAAAACTGTCGGTATTGTTATTGCAGCAAGTAGCATACGAACAAAAGCGTCACATATTGCTGTACAATGTCGATCATGTCGAAATGTTATTTCAAATATTAAAGTTAAACCTGGTTTGGAAGGTTATGCAATGCCAAGAAAATGTAATAGCGTGTATGTATTCAAAAATATACTTTAAAATAACAATAGGAATTGATTATATTATAAAAGTATTGATAAGACTGGATGAGAATCATCAATTGATATTTCAAATTTCTTAGTAAATTCAGACAAAAGCAAAGTTTTAGTAAAAGACTAATTACACAGCACTTTATGATCAATGAAACACCGAGACAATAACCTTGTAAACATATGTGTCTTCTATGCTTTTAATTATACTCATCATCGAAAAATAATCAAGTAAACATATCTGTCTGTTCTAACCTAGATAAATCAATGTGTTTATTTCACTCATTTTTATTGATAAGAAACGTATTTCTATCCTATAGTGAATCACAATCGATAATATCACTCTCATAGTGGTTGCAAATTTTTAATAAAATCTAGCTGTTGCTCTGATATTCAAAGATAATTAATTATATTTTTATGCAGAATTTCTCTAGCTATTGATGTGATTGTATGAATTTTGAATTTATTGTAGAACTCAACCTGGTCAACCAGCATGTCCACTCGATCCATATTTTGTTATGCCTGATAAATGTCAATGTATTGATTTTCAAATACTTAAATTACAAGAAGCACCTGAATTCGTACCACACGGTGAAATGCCTAAACATATTCAACTTTATTGTGATCGGTAAATTCATATATAATTTATATTTTTAATCTTGATCGTTTTTTTAATATAGAAATCTTGTTGATCGTGCAATGCCTGGAAACAAAATAACACTTGTTGGTATTTATTGTATTAAACGAACTGTTGCAATGAAAGTAAGTAAAAATAATTTTTTTATTCTTTATTTCTTAATTATATTTATGAATAGATGAAAGGACGAGAAAAATCTAATGTTGGTACTCGTCAACCGTATGTTCGTGTTCTTGGTACTCGTATTGATACGGATGGTGTTGGACGTTCATCAGCTCAAACTTTAACAACAGCTGAAGAAGAAGAATTTGTTCGATTTTCTCATACACCTGATGTTTATGATATAATTGCAAATAGTATTGCACCATCAATTTACGGTGCACAAGATGTAAAAAAAGCTGTTGCTTGTTTATTATTTGGTGGATCAAGAAAACGGTTAGTTTAATCATAAAAAACTAATAATATAATTTAATAAAATTTTATTTTTAGTTTACCTGATGGATTATTTCGTCGTGGTGATGTTAATGTTTTACTTGTTGGTGATCCCGGTACAGCTAAATCTCAATTATTAAAATTTGCTGAAAAAGTCTCACCAACTGGTGTCTATACCAGCGGAAAAGGCAGTAGTGCAGCTGGTCTTACAGCAAGTGTTATTCGAGATCCAAGCTCAAAAAATTTTGTTATCGAAGGTAAAGAAAATCAAATTAATTTTTTGTCTATATTAATAATTTTCTGAAAACTAGGTGGTGCAATGGTATTAGCTGATGGTGGTGTCGTTTGTATTGATGAATTTGATAAAATGCGTGAAGATGATCGTGTTGCTATTCATGAAGCAATGGAACAACAAACAATTTCAATTGCTAAAGTAAGAATATAATAACGAAAAAATTCTATTGATAAATTTATTTTGTTTCAAGGCTGGTATAACAACAACATTAAATTCTCGATGTAGTATTTTAGCAGCAGCTAACTCAATTTATGGTCGCTGGGATGATTTAAAAGGCGATGATAATTTAGATTTCATGCCAACCATTCTTTCACGTTTTGATATGATTTTTATCATTAAAGATGAACATGATGAAAAACGTGATACTGTATGTATTCAAATACTTGATATTTTTCGATTAATTATTATTTTATTTTCATCCTATAGACATTAGCTAAACATGTTATGAAAATTCATATGAATACTTTAACTACAGAGGATAATGGTGGTGATATGAGTATTCAAAAATTAAAAAAATATATCGCTTATTGTCGAAGGTAAGATTAGTTTTTCGAATATTTGAAAAATAATTATGAAGTTTTTTTTATTAATTAGTAAATGTGGTCCTCGTTTATCGGAAACTGCTGGGGAAAAGTTACGAAATCAATATGTTGTTATGCGTAACGGAACGAGTATTTATGAACGAGAAGTTGGAAAGAAAACAGCAATTCCAATAACTGTTCGGTAAGAAGAAATTATTTATTTTCTTGACTTTATTTTGTTTTCTTGATTTATTAGACAACTTGAAGCATTAGTTCGTATATCTGAAAGTTTAGCTAAAATGCGTTTAGCACCATTTGCTAATGAAACAGATGTAGATGAAGCACTTCGATTATTTCATGTTTCAACTCTTTCATCAGCCGGTTCAGGAAATTTAGCTGGTATTGAAGGTTTTACAACACGTGAAGATCAAGAAGAAATTTCACGTGTCGAAAAACAAATTCGACGTCGATTTGTCGTTGGTTCACAAGTATCAGAACATGCGATTGTTCAAGATTTTATTCGACAAGTAAGAATACATGTGTAATAAATCATTTATTTACTTATATTTTTTAGAATTATTCGGAACGTACTATTTACAAAGTTCTTCATGCAATGGTACGTCGTGGTGATGTTCAATATCGTATGCAACGTAAAGTTCTTATTCGTGTCAGATAAATAATCAGATAGCTATATACAGAATTATATTGAAATTTGTATAAATATGAAACTATTTTTTCTGTCAGATATATATATATTTTTGTTGGTAAATTGATAATCAAATCAGATGTTATTTTTTCTCTCTCTCTCTATTTTGTTATCTGTGTAACTGTTCGATGAATTGTATAAAATATATTTTCATATGTATTCAATAAAAATGTTATGTTAGATGAATATATATAGTATTTGATATTATGGATTTTGGTTATTGCTTATTAATTTTCTTGAAAGATATACTGATCTACATAATTAGGTTGACATGTTATTCAGAAACGTTGATCGTGCTTCTTAAATTGTCTATTTACTTTTACCTCGTAAAATCATATCTTGATATTAAAATCACGTTAACATACGATCAGTAATCATATCGGTAGATAAGAGAATATATATATATAGAATGTAAGATAAAATAGTTATTCATTGTTACTATTTATCATAAGTACATTTTCTATAAGTATGCTATCAAGAGTATCGTTTGTGTTTATCGTTAGTCATTGTGATAAGATAAGGCTGTTATCGTCGATAGTAGCTATTTTTAATTGATTGACTACCGAACTTTTTTTATGGAATGTATAAATAATTATAAAGTATTCGATAGATTTTATTCTAAATTGAAAAAGTATTTATTGTATAAAATTCAATGATATATTTAGTAATAATATATATGACGAATAATAGGGGGAATTTATTTAACAAAAGCGAGAAAGAGAAAAGAATATGAATAATATAGATACCGCCCACACAGTGATGAGTGGGCCTATTAGCAGATAAAACTGTATTATGACTCAGTATTGTACGATAAACGAGGTAATAGTATTATTACTAATTTCATAGAGAACAATAAGCTTACCGTTTATATATTGATGTTTCAGTATCATTTTTATGTTTTTTTGTAATATACACTTGCGAATGGTAATTCAAAATGGTTATATAACAATGTACTGGAACAGTCTTTGATTATGAGTGAATATGTTTATAATGGAAATGATATTCGTAGAAATGTCTTAAATACAATCATTTTTACAAAATTCACAAAGAAACTAATGGGTCAATGTGAAGACAAATTATGAAAATCAATCTTTATCTTCAACATGAATCTGACTAGAATTTTTTCATGTTATCTAAGTTATTAAAAGCTGATTAGATGATAAATGATAATGATCACAAAAGTAACTTTATACTAAACAGTTACTCTCTGTTGAACGATAATCAAACAAATGTCTGATAAAAGATAGCCTTGATATTAACTAAACTCGATCCTATGATGTAATAAATCCATTTACGAACCTCAAATAATTCGAATCTGATACATGTCTATCTTTCGTTTTTAATTTACTGAGTTATTCCACTATATTATCATTGATAATAGTTTAATATTGAATTTAGTTACGATGAGTCAACTTATTTACGTATTATTTTCGTTTACTCATCTGTTAATATTTTAGTTTATGTAGGTGTTATTAGTACTATTTATGATTCATAACAATTATTTCTTGAATATCAGCACTTAATTAGTAGAAGACATGGTTATAGTTTTACCTTGGAAAAAGGTATGAATAATATCGTTTCAGCTGAAAAAGAAACAAGCCCACTACACATGTACACCTTTGCCTACGCATGATTCACTATTAGATTGGTCGGAGATATTTTGTCAAATGATTTGTTTTGGTGTATAAATAGAGAAACGTTTATGATAATATTTATCATAGTAGTTCGATTGAGGTAAATAATGTAATGATAAATAGAAGAAATTTAAAATTATCTATATTTTGTTTAGTTTTAGTTAAAATTTAATTCGTCAACAAAAAAAACAAAACCAGATGCCATTAAAAAGCTTTTTAACAAGCACAAATACTTCTCAAAGATTTCGTGTTAATGGATTAATCCCATCATCACGTTTACCAAATAAAAGACAATTATGTCAAAGTTTTCATAATCATGTAATCTATAGAGCTGATCAACTTCCACCAAAAGTTGACCTTCGATCAGACATGACACCAGTCGAAGATCAATCACAAATTGGTAGTTGGTAAATAAATTTGGCCTATATAAATAATCATATTTTACTTGTTTTTAAATTTATTTTTAGTGTAGCGAATTCTCTTGCTGGAGCATATGAATATTTAACAAAAAAAGCGAATGGTCGAAATACTGATGTTAGTCGTTTATTTATTTATTATAATGCTCGTGTAAAAGATGAATCTTCAGGGAAAGTTACCGATTCAGGTTGTACAATGACAAGTGCTATTGAAGCATTAGAAGAATATGGTACTTGTCTTGAATCACTTTGGCCATATGATATTTCTGAAGTCAATTCTCGTCCAAATAGTCAATCATATCACGAAGCTAGTCATCATAAGATTACAGAAGCATTGAAAGTCAATATTAATCTGCATGAAATGAAATCTTGTCTTGCACAAGGTTTTCCATTTGCATTTGGTTTAAAATTATATAGTTCATTTGATCAAGCAGCTAAAACTGGTGTTGTACCAATGCCAAATACAGGTGATAATGGACGATCATCACATGGAAGGTTTGTAATAAAACTATTATATTAGGACGAAAATTTAATATTTTTATTTTAGTCATGCACTATTAGCTATTGGTTATAGTGATCAATCAAATGCATTTATTGTACGAAATTCATGGGGTGAAAATTGGGTAAGAAATCTATTAAATAAAAAAATCTAACAGAAAAAAATGTTTTAGGGTGATCAAGGATATTGTTATATTCCATATCAATATATGACAGATTCTAGTTTATGTTTCGATGTATGGACTGTTCGTAAATTAGCTATGGACAGTTTTGGCCGAGAACATTGGGATGATGATGATAGGATTGATTATTCACGTAGTATGGATAATGATTCATATTATGGAAATATCGATCGTGATAGTTCAATGATTGAAACTTTTAATGACAATGATGATTATGATGATTCCGGTAGTTTTAATCGTACTAATGATTACAGACGAAATAACGGCTTTAATGACTACAGACAAAATAACGGTTTTGATGACCCTTGGAATTCATATCAAGATAATGGAGGTTTATTTATATCTATCTAAATTTTATACTTTATAAATTTTATTAATTAATAGGAAATAATTATTCGAACTATGGCAATAATTATAATTATAATAGAAACAATACTTTTGATGATCCTTGGAATTCACCTCGAACTTTTCAAGGTTTGTTTATAGATTAAATTTTATTACTATACAGTGTTTATCGATTATTAGGTTTTAATCAATCGAGAAATGATGAATCATTTCAAGGTAAATTCATTTTCTTATAATTTCTTTCAATAAAAATTTTATTTAGGAAACTTTCCTGATCCAGGTTACAATCAATTTCAACAAAACAACGATTTCTGTACGTATTTAAACAAAACAAAAAACATTCAATTCATCGAATTTCTTCGTTTTAATTTTCTAGTTGATTTTCCTAATAATCCATTTATGCCATCAGCTCCATTTCAAGACTATCAACAATATGGATCAGGCTATGGTTATACTAATTCATATGACACACCTTTTAACCCATTTTTTTAATAATAATCAAATACAATAGTATAATATAAATAAATAAATGTGGGTTTAGTAATGAACATGAATTTTGATTAATAAGTCTTCCTAATAGATAACATTGTAAATCAGTTAATGTTCGACGATCGAATAAACTGACATGAAGTATTCCATTTGGCATTGAACAAGTTGATGATTGATATAATAATGATAGATTAGGATTATTATTACTAAATGAAAATACACGTTGATAATTTCGAAGTTGAATACAATTACATTTTGATATTGAATTTATATTTCGAAATATTGAATTTGATAAGATTCGAAAAATAATTTTCATTGAATCTAATGGAATCAGCTGAAATTGATCAGGTTTTGGAAATATTGATTGTAATGAGATAATATTTGTATGAATAGTTAATGATTTATTTGAATTTTTCCATTTATGTGCAAGATAAATCCATTCATTTGTTGTTAATGATTTTTTCATAGTTACATTTATACTAGACGATATTAAATTCATAAATTTTAAATTTGATAAACTAAGTATATGTCCAAAATAATCAATTTGTTTCAATGGATTGTTCTGTAGATATAATATTTGTAAATTATTTAATAAACGAAAAAGACTACCATTAAGAATTTCGATTTGATTATTTGATAAATCAAGTATTTGTAAATATTTTAAAGGTATTTGAAGAAAATTTGGAATTTTTTCAATTTGACTATGACTTAAATTTAAAGAAATTAATTTCGATAAACATAAGAAATCAATTGTTTGAAATTTAAAATGTGAGCCACTTAAATCAAGTGTTTGAATATTTAAATATTTACATAATTGTAATGGCCAATGACTTAAAGCATTTTGTGCAGTAATCTTTGTTATATTTCTTGAGATATTTGAATTAAGTATAGGTAAATCTGGTAATGAATATGAACAATTTATAATTGTAAATGAATGTTTCGCTAAAAGACATTGACAAGGTGTATTCTTAATGCATGAAAAACTTGTCGAAGAATTGGTTAAAGTGAATAAAAAACAAAAAAGAAGAAGAAAATGTTGATATACTTTATACATGTTTTGTTCGATAAATGAAATGAATACATATATTGTTCGATGTCGTTCTTTTAGACTGTGTATGTATTTGACTAAATATACTTGAAAACATTAGTTGTAATTTGATACCATACACACTTTTTTCATTTTGCTGTTCAATCATTTTGACTCGACGTGACAATTAACAAGTGATATAGCTCATATATTTAATGCACTTATTAGATGTAGACATTTGAGTCGTGTTTTACATTGTATTCATTTAAAAAAGCTTTGCATTAAATTTTAATCGATCTGTCATTTACGATATTTCATTACAAAGAATTTTATAAATAATAGCGATAAATAAAATCTATAGTTTCATGGTCAAATTAAGTGTGCTCTAAATTTGGAGTTTACGGATATCTGAGTTGCCGCGAAAAACTCTACCTGAAAACGGTAATCATCTATTTTTGAGTGCTCGGGACCGTACTGAGTCGGCTGGTGATGCTGAAGAAAAAAAAAGCACATGGTTACAAGCTACAATTTGTCGAGAAACTTGAAACTCGTAAACTTGACCTGGTTTCATATATTTCTAGAAAAAAAACTGATTTAAAGATGTGATAACACTGTACAAACTTTTGTAATTCATATACTGTTTTATGAAACGAAAACTTCGTGACTCTCTCCCTAAACTCAAATCAATTATTAGTCTTTGAAATAGGTCAACTTTATGAATATGTCTTAGAATCTCGAGAGTAAAAATCCGGAAAATTTCTAATACCGCTCTAACAGTAGAGAATGATAATATTCTTTCATAAATGTTTATGGCTGTCTACGTCAATCATGATTATCGTCTACCGAGTGCCATTCTACTTTACTGTGCTCTACACTTCTATTAGCAAATATACACAGACGTGCAACTTAAGAATGTGGATGTTATGTCCTTGCTTTATCCACACCCACCCTCAAGATAGGAATGTGACAGTTTCAATTCGAAAGACCTGAGTCTGAGCTTTCAAAATCTTACTTACCAAACATTTCGAGGACGATGAGATCGATCGCGATGAACATCTCATGAGACTGTCTTTATTAAATAAACTATTGCATCTTTTTTCAAGCATTTTCCAAAATTTTGGGACAATACCAACTTTATTTTTCTTCAATTACAAACAGGATGAATCTCTGCAATTATATATATTAAAAGCATAATTTTAAATACATTTAATTAATCTATTCTTTTTATTGTTTATATACAGAGATATGTAAGTATCCATGTTTCACCTTTTACTTAAATTCATTCTAGAAAATGATTCAAGTAATTCACAGTAAAAAAAAAATTAAACAAAAAGAACCAATAAATTCATACACTAATACAAAACGAGAGGTATTTATCTTATTTCTTTTCTGTCTCTCGCATCTATACAATATATAACATCATTATCATCACTCGGAGATACATTGTCTAAAAGAAAATATTTTCGAAACAAAAGTATTTATCGTGTAAATCCAAATACTTCGATTTCCATTATTTGAAAATGTTCAATAGTTGATAATGGTTTACTATCAAATGTATCACATTGTTTTGTACTACCTTCATTTAAATCTTGTCGAATTGATAAACCAATATTAAGTGGTTCTTTACTTCCACCCATTTGTAAACGTTCATCATCTGCATATATATAATAATCTTCATATGCTTGTGTATTACCTTTTGTTAATGGTGAATAACCAACCCATTTAAATACTTGTCGTTCTGGTTTTATTGTAAATAAAAATGATTCACCTGTACCAAACCATGTTCGTGTTTTCGTACGATTAGCTAATTGACCTGAACAAAATCCACCAAAAACTTCTTGATTTTCATTACGTATTATAATAAGACAATATTCATGATATTCAACATGATCATACAATGTTCGTAAACGACGACCATGAATATTTGATGAATAAATACGTTCAGGTTGAAAATCTGTCAAACGACTTGGAATTAATGACCATAAATAAGCAAAATCTGAATGACTGGCTGCTGTTGTTTCAAATTCACGAACCATTATTATTGGCATAGAATTTTGATGATGAAGTGTACGAGGTACAACAGGTTTTGATATTGGTGCAGGAATTGATAATTGATTACCTGTAGATGATGAACGACGTAGTTGTGGCATTATTTGACGACGATCTGATTTTATTTTTTCTTCTTCACTCTAAACAAAATAAATATTCAGATATTTTTATTGAAAAATAATATCAACATTCTTTTTTCTTAAGTACTCACGATATGCAATTTCTTCAATAGAGAAGATGATGCCACAGATTTTTGTATTTTATCAATTTTTTTTATTAATTTCGATTTGGCTGATACATAATGTTTAGAAACAGATTTTTTATCCATATTATAACAACGTGCGAAAGGTAAAAGTTCGAAAGCTTATGTCTGCAAATTTGTTTACTTGCTTATAACGAATAAATGAGTAATAATAAAAAAAGAAAGAAATAACGCCCAACTAATTATTAATATTCTCGCTTATATGGTCGGATATACAGGTGATACGTTCGAGGTAAAAAAGATAAGACTGACGCTTTTGATAATTTATTTTAATTCACCTATACATAAAAGCATATGTAATTAAATTTCTATCGGGAAGAATATGTTGAATTAGATTCAGTTATATATTTTTAACTTTTACCAAAATTTTAATTCACTTTCTCTTTAAACTTTCATGTCAAGGGGGAACAAACTGATTTCCATACAAGAAATCATGAGAAATCATGGGAAATCAAAAGGATGTGGGTGTAAATGGGTATGGGTAAGTGTGAGTCCCAGGCGAATACCGTATCCACACCGACACGGACATTCACCCACACCCACCCACACAACTACATCCATACCCACTCACGCGCACATATATCCTCAACTGATTTCCATACTAGAAATCACAAGAAATCATAGGAAATCATAGGAAATCATGAGAAATCAGGAAATCAGTTTGTTCACCCTTGCTTTCAAGTACTAAAAATATAGGATAAACTACTTCTATATGTTATCATTATATAACGAAAATCCATTTCAAAATTAATCAAAAATTAAATTTAATGACAAATTGTTTCCATTCGAGAATCATAGTATTTAGAAATACTGTAATGAATGATATATAATTATGTATACTCCGAAGAAGAAAAAAAGCGGTTAATCATATAAGGAGCTTTTTCTTAATCGGACGCGTTTTTAATGAAAAGTGTAAAGTGTATCGTTACAAAACTAATACTGTAACGAAAATAGTGTATCATTTTCGAAACTAATAATATTCGTTTTTTTCATCATTTATTTTAAATAGATTGAATTCAATCATCGGGCTCGTAATTAAGATTAATCGCATACATTTCTAATCATAATGATTGCCGTAAGCTGTATTATGAAAAGAATTAGATTTATAGAAAATCCTTTTCTTTATAATTGTTAAATATAATCATACCTCAATAGCTCGAAAAATTTCTTTTCGTTGTAAATGATGAATGCCAAAAGCATGTTTGAAAAGTTTTTCAATTGGTAAATCAAAATGTTGAATATAAGTGATTAAATTATCAAAAATTGTTAGATTTTTTTTGTTTGATGATGTGTTTTCACTTTGGAAACGTACTGATGAATGAGTATATTTTGATCGACAAAATAATGATTCACGTCGTCGAGGTTTAACTGGTAAATTTTGAGGATTTAAACCATATTTAACAAAAAAATGAAATAATGTCATACCAATACGTATAAGAATTTTCATATCTTCAATTAAAAGACAATC